AACAGCATTGTTAAGACTGCTGGAAGAAGGAAGCGGGATGCCAGTGAGCCTGCTAAAGTATGGTTGTTGACGGCGTGGAAACAGCAGGGTTGGGGCTGCTGGACGAAGGCAGCTGCATGGCAGGGAGGCTGCTGCGGTATGGTTGTTGACGGTGGGGAAACAGCAGGGTTAAGGCTGCTGGAAGAACCAAGCTGGATGCCAACAGCATTGTTAAGACTGCTGGAAGAAGGAAGCGGGATGCCAGNCGGTGGGGAAACAGCAGGGTTAAGGCTGCTGGAAGAACCAAGCTGGATGCCAACAGCATTGTTAAGACTGCTGGAAGAAGGAAGCGGGATGCCAGGGAGGCTGGTATAGTATGGTTGTTGGCGGTGTGGAAACAGCAGGTTTGGGGCTGCTGGAAGAACCAAGCTGCATGGCAGGGAGGCTGCTGCAGTATGCTGGTTGTCGATGGTGTGGAAACAGCAGGGTTAAACCACCAGTACACAGCCCCAGCCTTGCAGAAAGAAACGCGTCGCCACCGCACCGTAGCACGGGAACGTGCGGGCCAGGGCTACCATGGATCAATTCAATCGGCGGCCTCCGAAGCGTTGCCGGCCTCGGAAAGGAGCCTGTGGCCGATGTATGGGTGTATCGGTGGTTTTAGGGCGCTGGAAGAATCAAGCTGGATGGCAGGGAGGCTGCTGTTGTATGGTTGTTGATGGTGCAGAAAACAGCAGGGTTAAGGCTGCTGGAAGAAGCAAGCTGGATGCCAACGATGAGGGTTTGTTATCGTGGCGTGCCCTTCACTTTTATCCTCCTCCTCCGCCTCCTCCCGACCCTGACCTACATTGCCAATGGCGCTGTGGTGTCCTTTATGGGCTCATAGGTTCATGTGTTGTGTTAAAAAAAAACACGATGGTTTCCTTATGGTAGTGGGGAAATCCTTTATGGCTGAGGGTAGATCGTGAATGTGGGAGTATGGTGTTTGGAAGCCGTTATGCGGAATTGCAGGTCAGGAGCAGCTGCCAGGGGAGGGAATAGTTGCTCTTTCAGAGGAGAGTGCACAGCAAATTCTTCATTGTGTTGCCACGCCCCTCTTTGAGCACTCTCCTCTGTCAGAAGTGAAAAGTTCAGTCGGCAACTGCATCGTCTGTCATGATCCTGTGACGTATGTCGGGAGCAAGAATGGCAAGGGAAAAAAAAAAAAAAAAAAAAAAAGGAGTGCAGTGCAACGTGATTGGATTGGATGCCCATCCCGGCAGGTTGTCAGCCCTTGGTGCCAGTCCGGAGGGAGTGCTTAGTGTGGGCTATGGGGCCAGCGAGGATGGAGAAAGGGAAACTAGATCCAGCGACTTTGTATGATTAAGCTCAGAGAAGCCTACTGACAGACGATGGGAGCCTCCGATCATCGCCTTGGTTCTGTTAAGTCTGTTCAAGGGACCCTCTTGCAGTCGCTTCCCCACGGGGCTTCCCCACGGGGCTTCCCCACGGGGCTTCCCCACGGGCTGCGATAGTTTCACTTCATTCTCTAGTTGGCGATATGCGTGGGCACATCTATTGAGGGGACCCTTAGGGTGAAATGCAGGGTTTCTTGTCAGAGGCAATTACGTTGAGCTTCTTGCCTGCAGGCCACTGCAGGCTGTTTCAGCGACCCTTTTTCGCAGTGAAACCTCTGTGTGGCTGTCTTCAAAGGGGTAATGGGCCCGGAGAAACGAACAACCATTTCTTTCTGGTCGTTTGCATGTGTTGTATTAATCCCGCCCTTTTCAGTTTGTCCTTGGCGCTCTATTTTCCTGATTGTTTTGCAATGAACATTCATTCGTTCCTGGGGTTGATTCATTCCTGGCAAGTTGGCCGGAGAGGGAATGCAGTGAGTGGCTTTGCCATATGCTTGTACTTTTCAGAATGCGTCTGACGGGCGTTACAGCCTGAGCTGGATGAATCTGACTGCAATCACGTCCAGAGCTTTGTGGAAAACGTCGTTCTCATACACTTGGGCTGTTTGGCTCCCTTATTCATGGCGGCGTATTACGCACTCGTGTTTGCGACCTTCTTGTTATTATCACCTTTTTCTTTTTCTTCTTTTTTTAAAAAACATTTAAAGGGGTTGTTGCATTTCGAAGACAGATCGAGGCCGGGGACCTCACAATTCAACCCGAGGGGGGGGTATCTTGGGAGCCTTCCCCAGTTTCGCTTATGAGCCTCCGCTCGCGACGGACTCCTGTCTGTCGTGGTCTTTCCACTCATCGTCTACCCCAAGGTGTTCTACCGAGAAACCTTCCTCGAACCCTAGAAAACCTGGGGTCCGGCCCACACCCACTCCTCTCAGCTGGTAGGCTGTTAGCTTGGCTTATTTAGCAAGAGGAGGGTAAACCTCTTGGAGGCCCATGAGTGTCTTCCGTCGTCACTCTTCCCTTCTTGAGCTCCGTGGTTCCGTGGATGTTTAATGCACTGGCAAGGGGTTGTCTTGGTTCTGAGCGTGTCTGAGAAGCGATCAGCGCACGATCGTCGTGGTGCTGCTGCTCTGTGGGGGTTCCCCAGGCGAATCTGAGAGAATGTTGTCCGTAATCATCCCCAACTTGCCGTTGCCCAGCATGTCCTTTTTGAACTTGTCCACGATGTCTTGTTGTTTGGCTGGGTCTTCCTTGAATACACTTTTCTTGCATGGTGCCAGTCGGAGTGGTGCTCGACGAGGAGGGTTTGTTGAGGGGACAAAGTCTTCGGTAGAGGTGCGATGCCACCTTTGCTGCATACGGGGTTCTTTGAGGCCTGTAAGGGTGAGCACCGGGTCGTCCGGCTATTTTCACCTTTTTCCTCTTCTCTTTTTACTCAAAAGAATTCAGATATATTTCGACCCATTGATTTGTATACCTCGTATTCTTTTCCCAATCATCTGCTGTTTTATTGCAAAGCTTCAGATCCTGCTTGTTCTGAAGGAGGTGGATGCGTGTTTCCAACAACTTGGGGAAAACACCCGACGGTGTTCGCCTGTCTACCTAGCTACTTGTTTAAATACTGGTGATCGCAAATCAGTAGTGCTGGCTCCAGCAGACAATTTGGGCGCGTGATAACCTTGATGGATTGTGCTTTATTAATTTTCGTTCCTGTTAAAAAAACAAAACCGTGCGAGCGGTCAAGGTAAAGGCCTCCGTGTGGTTTCATTTGCTGTGGTGAGGCTGTCTCTTATACACATCTAGATGTGTATAAGAGACAGTTGTTAAGACTGCTGGAAGAAGGAAGCGGGATGC